GGGTAATAGATTGCTTCATTTCTGGTCATCGTATTTGCAATTCCTGGTGTGGAATCAAAAGTTTCATCACTCTATCACAGTAGTAAGCAACCCAGACACTCCAGCTGCGGTGAAAGGAAAAATCTCATCATGCCTCTGCCTGTGGGAGCCCTACCTGTGGCTGTCAGAGTCTTGCAATACATTATGGGAGTTGTAGTTCAACAACAGCTGAAGTGCCAAGGTTGCCAACCTCTGCTTTATAAAATTGTCATGTTTGTAGCCAGGATAAACTGAGGACACCACATTCACAGACCTGTGTGATGGGTTATCAAAGGTTTCTCATAGGGTTTGCCCTAAAGCATATTTGTTTATACAATGTTGAGATTGGCAGATCCAAAGATTGATATTAATGAGACGATCAAACCTTTCAGCTGGCAGACAGCCTGGAAGAGAATAATCAGCAATGTACAATGTTATCATCCTATGACTGTCACCCCGGCTCATATTCATACTATTACACACCTTCAGATATTAAAAGCACTTCAGGAATATCCAGACAACAACATGTAATATGAAAACCAATTTACATTCATGTGTGTTTTATTAATGCATGTTCAGCCTAGGCTTGGATATTTAATAACGCCCAAAGGGGGAATTTATCAAAACTGGAGCAGATTTGCACTGCAACCAATCAGCTTCTCTCTCTCTCTCATTTTAAAATCTTACCTGAGCTGGTTGGTGGCCACGGGTAACTGCTCTAGATTTTGTCTTCTCCAGTTTTGATAAATTCCCCCCATTGCCTTTATCAGAGAACTTCAACTTCAGCTAACCATCACACACAATGTAATCCCATTCCTCAGTGAACAATGCCTTGCAATTCTTCCTTCAACTGTAGAGTGTTGATTTATAATGTACTGATGCAGCCCAAAAAAAAAAAAAACATAATAAAAAATGATAATATACTGTTTCATTACATTACATACGTTTATCTCCTTCTAAGAATGTTTGTTTGCACACCGTCATGATGATGCTTTGATTTCTGTATATCCTTTGGAATAAATGTATTATTGTAATAAGTAATATTTTTGTAATAATGAATAGGTGTAATTTAGTAGAAAACAACTGAATTATTGAAACACAGTCCAACGGATCTATTTATAACCAATATGCAGAGACATTTGCCCTACGATTCTTTCTAAACATTCATTCTGTGCGAATAGGTGCAAAAAATAAACGTTCTTAGATATATTTTCAGGTCAAAGGTATGTAATGTAGCTGAGCTGAGAAGCACTTATTTCCAATGCTCCTTTGCTCCATTCAAAGGGATTCATAGGGTGAATGGTTCTGCGAATCAGTTATAAATAGGCCCTAGGTCTTTAAACAATTTTGCTTGCTGGAATGCTTCCGGCAAGGATGATAATCTCTAAATGAAGCAAAGCCTTTGATGGCCCCAAGGTCTCCTACGCATACCACAGCCTCACTTAAGCAGGCCATACACTGCTAGATTTTCATAGAAACATTCATAGAAACTGGCATCCTAGCAAACAGCCACCAGTAGCCAAGAAGTTGTATAATGACAGCGGACTGCCGCTGTCATTATTCAACCCGCTGCTAGTTAGTTGCTAGGAGCGCCTGGCGTCCTAGCAGCTAACCAATGACTGCTGCCTCCCCAGTCCCCGCCCTTTCCGCAGTCAGTGCTACCCAAGTTAGTGAACAAATAAGGGGGAACCCAGACTATGGAATAAGGGGGAACTCTGGGGAGTCTAATATAAGTCCCCCTTATATCAGAGTTCCCCAGGACCTTAGGACTTGGATATTAAAGGGGGTCTCTAGGGACAGTGATATAAGGGGGGACTCTGGAAACTCTAATGTAATGGGGAACTCTGGGAATTTTAATGCAAAGGGGGACTCTGGGGTGCTTACATCAGATTCCCCCATCAGCGTCCACCATTACACCAGAGTCCCCTCTTTCGTCCACGTTCTTAGGACTCTGATGTAAACATGTAAAGAGGGTCTCTGGGGACGCTGATATAAAGAGGGACCCTGGAGACTCTGATGTAAGGGGATCTTTGGAGACTCTGATGCGAGTCTGACTTGCATTTTTGAGTTGATTTTATGGTAAATTGATCTATAACATAGGTGTCCATTTTGGGAAATTTTGGGCACAATTACAATGCTTGCCATAGTTGCTGTTTCCTTTATATTCGCCTCTGTGTTCATGCAGAACTGACCAATCAGCATCTCTGCTCAAACACTGATCCTCCCATTTGGCAAAGACCACGAGACCAGTTGCTGAAAGCAGTCCAGAGCACTGATGCCTAGAGTAACACAGAGTACATTTGCATGTATAAAAGTGTGTGCATACCCAAAACTCTTTTCTTTTGTTTTGGATAGAGTAGGGAAGGGATAGACTACCAGTCAGGCTTTTATTGCATTTTGTGTCCTGCTAGGTAGAATGACCCCTTCTATTAGTCTTGTAGATCATTGTCAGATATAATGAAGGGAAATCCAAAATTTTACAGATGTATCCAGAACTAGAGCTGAGTGTAAATCTCCCAATAGGGAAACCTGTTCCTGAGTAACAACCTTAGCCCTTTGTCCCTTAGGTCCGCCACTGTGTCTAGGAGGGCAATTCCCTTCATATTGTAGAGGACATGGACAGCATTTATTAAAATGAAAGAGGTTTTAATCCCTCCCTGCTCTATACAAAACACAAAAGATTTGGCAATACATACTGCACACCTCAATGCATTAGTATCATGAGGTCAGGGGTGGGTTGGTACTATAATTAAAGTCACATGGTGTACTCACTATACACCAATATCCCATAAGACAGGAAAACCTTTCTGAGCACATAATTAAAACATTTAGCATGATCATGAGAGTAACATCGGTCTATAAATAGTAAGTCTGAATTATGCCATTTTTAGTAGAGCTGGGTGTAGATGTTATTCACGAGGACACACGAACCATGAGGCAATACATGGCACAGAAGATGAAAATCTGGGTTGGCCAGTCATTAGAGAGAACATTACATAATTAGGGATTACTCCGGACAAAATTTAAATATCATTTGGTAAAATTACTTCCTAATAGATTCAATATTTATCAAGTTAATTTCTTTCTTTTACTTTTCAAAGTATTTTATTGATTTTTTGACTTTTTGCAAAGAAATAAAAAGATGTAACATTGATACATAAGCATTTACATAAACATATGCATACATTAAGGTCTTTTGCATGTACATTCAAAAGTGTAATAAAACTGAACTGACAGTCCTGGGACAGCCCGTAGAGCTCAACGAAACGAAAAGATCCAGCGGATCATAAGGTTGGTCTGGAAGAACTGAGCAAAGAGGGGGAAACAGTGGGTAGGCGAAAGAGCGGGGGAGAGGGGAAAAGAAGAGCGCTTCCTGCAGGCTTCCATGATGACGTCTAAATTTGATGTAGGTATATTCGGGTATATTTGAGACAACCTATCATTAAAGTGACAAAAGCTGCCGATCAAAGGATGGAGGGAGGAAGTGGGTAACCCACGGGTCCCAGATTTTCTGAAATTTAGGCATGGAGTCCTGCATGCGTGCAGAGCTTCTCATTATAAAACGTCCAATGTACTTTATTCTTAACTTCTGATAAGCTTAAGGATTGTGACATCCAAGCGCTGGCTATTGTGCGTTTAGCTGCTGACAGTACATGTAGCATTAGTTTGAATTTAAATATGGCCTGGATGGGAAGGGGGTTTAACACCGCGGATGTCAACTGGTTAAAGTACAACTAAAGGCTCCAGGCATGAAGGGCCAAAGAAGTACCAAATCTAGTTACTGTGATGGATAAGTATGCTAAAAAGTTGCAGATAATATATTGACCGTTTTGGAAATGTTTACTCTACAAAACTCACAGTGCACTTTTCTTGTACTTTAGCCCACAGACCTATTGTGTCATTATTGATGTAAGCCCTGCGGAGGTGACAACCAAGTCCATACTCAGAGGTCCTGCCTGAAAACGAATGGAAAGGATGGAAGGCAAGGAAAGAAGAAAGGAAATTGGAGGTGACAGTCAATCCAGAGACCTGTAAAGCTAGACAAAGGTTGGTTTAAGGGGAGTTCACCATTTGATATCATGTTGTTTTATACCAAACCAGTCAGAACTAGAAGCTTCTAGTATATGTTCCACTCAGTGAAACCTGAACACTCTAGTGCTGCGTGGAATTTTTTTGTGAGAATATACAGGAGACAGCCAGGAGAGAGAGCAAGGAGAGAATTAATTAGGAAGCCTTACACTGACTGCCAATGTAACGGAGGTATTCTCAGTGGCCGCCAATATAACAGAGGTACATACACTGGCCAGCAATGTAACGGAGGTATATACACTGACCAGCAAGGGGATGCAGAATTTGCATATCAATGAACCACGATATTTACATATCAATGAGATGTGGCTTATTCATATGTAAATAGTGCCACTAATTCATATGTAAATATCACAGTCGAGCCTAATTTCAGTGGGGGGCCAGTAGCCCCTATCTTCATTTTGGTTGCCCCTGTTTGGGTGTGTCCGGCTTTCAGTTGCCATGAAACCTGGACACAGCATTCAAAACCCAGACTGTCTGGGTGAATCCTGGACAGGTGGCAACCATACTGTAAGTGTATATCAAATGAACCAAACACCAGGGAGCCACTTACTATTATCACCTGCAGCCTTGAGGATGTTCCTAATTGGAGAAATTTTCCCTCACTTGCTGTCCCTGTGACGCCTGTGCAAGAAATAGGGGGCACAGAGAGTACATAAAATATATCTAAACCCCTGGAACAAAAATGTTATATATTGCAGCTCACCAGGCCAGTAACACATTACCAAAGGGGAAATTTCCCCAATAGGGACACAGATGGCCATACCTGACACAGGCCGAAATTCTTGCCCACTCTATCCAAAACGAAAAATTTAAAGAATCTACTGGTATTGGGCTTTAATTCCTATTGTATTTTTTATGTGTATTTTTTTCTCTTTTATTGTTGCAGTCCTTTGGTTTACTCAATGGGTGACACCTCAGAGGAAGAGAATTCGCCCTACAGATGTATATTTGAAGAAGACTTCAAGTACATCCTTTTGCCTGTGGCCTATTCGATTGTGTTTGTACTTGGCTTCATCCTCAATGCCATCGCCCTGTACATTTTCATCTTCCAGATCAGGCCATGGAAGGTGGTCACCATTTTCATGTTCAACCTGGCTCTGTCAGACCTCCTCTATGTCTTGTCCCTTCCTCTGCTGGCCTACTATTACTCCAAAGCCAACGATTGGCCCTTCTCCGAACCGCTCTGCAAGATAGTCCGCTTCCTCTTCTACACCAGCCTGTACTGCAGCATCCTCTTCCTCCTCTGCATTAGTTTCTACCGCTTCCTGGCGGTGTGTTACCCCATCCGCTTTCTACAATGGGGCCAAATTCGATACGCCCGGATTGCCTCCATTACTATTTGGGTGGCCATTGTTAGCATTCAGTCACCAATACTGTATTTTGTGTCCACCAGCCATATAGATAACTCCACAATCTGCCACGACACAGCGAACGTTGATCTCTATGACCAGTTTGTTGTTTACAATACGGTGACAATGGTTTTGCTCTTTTGCGTCCCCTTTGCCATCCTCCTAATTTGCAACTGCTTCATGATTTACGTGCTTGTAACGCCAGCAGTGCCCGCCTCACAGGTGTCCAAATTCAAGAGGAAGTCGGTCAAAATGATTATCACGGTCCTTGTGGTTTTCATCACCTGCTTCTTGCCATTCCACATCACCCGTACACTCTACTACTACTTCCGCAAGGTGGACACGGCCCCCTGTCCTACATTAGATGCCGTCAACGCAGCCTACAAATCCACGCGACCTTTAGCCAGCCTCAATAGCTGCATCGACCCCGTGTTGTACTTTTTGGTTTGGAGGTTCCGCCTAGTAGTCAGGAACAGAAGGAGAAACTAAAAGGGTTGACTTAGAGACTGTCACAATAAATAATATTTTTTGGTGGCCCAAAATGAACTGCTCTGACGTGACTTGTGTTATGCTATTAATTAGGGATGCACAGATACCGTTTTTTCGTAACAAGTACAATTCCTGCCAATCAGGAAGGTGTAATGACTCGCTGCCTGGGTTCCTCATACCGGAAGCTCGGGTATCGGGCTAGGCATCGGAGTATTTGGGCGAGTACGAGTATTCGCCCAAATACTCTGTATCTGCACCGATACCAATACTAGTATCGGTGCATCCCTATTATTCATCAATAAGGGCCATGCCTAAAGCTGAACTCCAGGCAGATAAAAGTACCATTTTATCTCTATAATTATTACTTAGAAGGATCATTAAAGTCTATCTCTGGGCACCTCTACAAGGAAGGGGCAATGATCCAGTGCAGCAGTCCATGCTGACCACTAGCAAGTCTTATTGCTTCCTCTCGTTGTGATGTCATCACACCGATGCAGTGTTCTGGAGAAGACCCCACCGCTAGACAGCCAATGCAATGTTTCCACTTGACCCAAGCAGCTACCTGGGCAGTCCTAATCTGCAGTCCAGAAGAAAGAAGACTTGAGACCCAGTGAGCCATGGGACCACAGATTGGGGCTTTTAATGTGTTTAAAAAAAAATGATATTGGGCTTTTAGCTCGAGAGGGTGGGGACATTTATCAGGCTCTGCAGGGTCAGAGATGGGGCTGGTCACACCCCTTACCTGTCAGCCCCGATCTGCTGTCAGCCTCCTCCACAGCCGAGCCCCGCCTCCTCCTCCACGGTCACTGGCGGGCCCTGCCTCCTCCTCTGTCGCGTTCCTCCTCACAGCCGCCAGTGACAGCCAGTAGCCTGAGATACCATAGCGGCCCGCACGGCTTCAGGGGGACCCCTTTGTTCCTCGTCCTGGCCTGGGCCCCCCTGTGCTTCCTGCTGCAACAAAACTAAAATAGAGAATATGCTGTTGCTCTTTTATGCTGTCTGGTAGGAGTCCCTGGAATCAGTGGCGTAACAATTGCCATAGCGACCCAGGCGGCCGCTATGGGGCCCGGGCACAGGGGGGCCCGGCCAGGGCATCCCTCTGATGCTGTGTGGGCCACCTGGGTCGCTATGGCTGTGAAGATCTCTGACAACCTGTCAGTGATGTGTGGAGCGGCGGCGGCGCGTTTCCCCTCCACAGCCGCTGCGGAGCTGTGTCAGTGACAGCCAGCAGCTGCGGCAGAAGAGGCCGGCGTTCGCAGTGAAGGAGGAGGCGGGGCCCGCCTAAGAGCAACCCCGCCTCCTCTTACATCACTAGCCAGTGACCTAAGAGAAGGCAGGGCCAGTCGATAGAAGAGGAGGCGGGGCTCGGGGACGGAAGAGAAGGCGGGGCCCGGCGACCACAGGAGGCGGACAGCGCTGACAGGTAAGAGGTGTGCAGCCCATCTGGGACCCTGCAGAGCCCACTATATAGAGTCTATGGTGGGCTCTGCAGGGTCACCCTCAGGTGGGCTGTTTGGGATATCAGGTGGGCTCTGCAAGTGGAATAACTAGAATTCATAGGGCCCCATACAAAATTTTGCTATGGGGCCCTGTGATTTCTAGTTACGCCCCTGCCTGGAATGAATATCATGCTGAATAAAATTACAAATCCTGCGGAAGGTAAAATGGTTCATGTGTATATATTTCAGATGTGTATATAACTGCTTGCCTGGAGTTTAACTTTAAAACTATTTGTCTGTGGTTTAAAATATATCCCAGTCTGACATTTCTATATAAGGTCCAAGCATTGTGTTTCAAAGAGGGGCGGGTGGGGACACTGGCTTTGTTTTTGCACTTATAAAAGGTCCTAGTGTATTTTTAGGGTATTATGATGTCACCCGACCGTCATATGAATAAATCCCTGCTTCTGCTATCAGTTTGGTTCTTTCCCTTTGTATGTGCGAGCTTTAACATTGTTATGATCTGTAAAGGTTTGATGTCACCCATAATATTGTTCTGAGATGCTCAGTATATGTCACGGCAAAGGGGACAAAAAAAGAATCAGTACATCTCTGCAATACAATTTCCTCCTAACTTATCCTTTTAACCCCTTCATGACCGAGCTTTTTGGTGTTTTTTTTCAGTTTCTGTTCGTTAATGACTGACTCACTTTTTAAATTTTTTACAAAATATTTTAAAAAATTAGGAGAAAACTTAAAAAAAACATTTTTCCACAATTTCCCCCCCCTAAAAGTGTTCACCAGTTTAGACAGGTGGCATATAATGTCACTGCCACTAAGTGTCGCACTTATTGACAGCGACATACTTTGAACATCGCTGTCAGGAGGGGGTTAAATAAAAGATTTAGCTCAGCTGCAGATTTTCATTGTGAGGGATTAATTTTTTTTAATAATGATAGTATAAAAATATATTTATATATATAATTTAATTTTTTAAATGTATTGTTATTATTTCACACATATTAACTTCTCTCTCTGTGAACTATTGCTGACAGGGAGAGAAGGGAAGGGGGGGGATGGACGACATGACAAGCCAGTGTTTTTACTGGCTTTTGAATTATATCAAGCAGTCATTGTGAATGAATGTATTTATGTCTGCTTCATAATTTAAACTGATTATTATTAGGCTGCCCCAAACTTAGGGACAACCAATGATAACCTTAGTGACACAGATCCTGACATGCACTGTTCCATGTTAGAATCAGATGCTACTAAAGACTTCTGATCATTTTGGCTGGTTGCCACAAGGATCAGAAGCCTGAAAAAGGCAGCTTTCGGCTTTTGCTGAATGCTTCTATACTGAAGCATTCAGTAAAATGCCGGTACACATTGGGATTTGCTAAGGGCATGTATACTCTGTGCCCAGTTATGAATAAACAGGAAGTGCTCAACATCACTTCCTGTTCATTCATTATTGTGGACATAGTAACTGATACTATCTCCACAATTTATGAATGGACAGGAGCACTCAGTATAGAGGCTTCCGATGAATGGACAGGAGCACTCAGTATAGAGGCATCCTGTTTATTCACAACTGGGGCTGCAGAAAAAGAGATTTAGGACTCGATGTCCTAAAGCTATTTTTCTATTTTAAAAGGGGAATATTAGGGGTCTGTTTAGACCCCTGATATTTTCCCAGAGCCTCCCACAGTAAAGTAAAAAAAAAATAAAAAAAAAATAAAATAATTTTAAAACGTAACATGTTTTAAAAATGTAAAAAGGTTGGAAAAATAAATGTCATCTTTGGGTTCGGTTTCGCCTGACAAAGTTTCTATTTTCAGTTTTGGTGTAAAAATTCTATTTCAGTGCAAGCCTAGTTATTATAATAACATAAAACGGGCAATCTAATCATGCTATTTACTTATTTATCTATTAACAGAATTACATTTTGTCCATGTAAAATTATTTTCAATTTATGTTTAGTGACAATTAAAGTGTTATTAAACTTTGTTTTCAATAATGAATCCAGATTAAACAAATATACATTGGCCAGCAAAGGATTTTTTTTTACATTTTTAAAGGGCTATGGGACAGTGCGAATGCCAAAGTTATAATCCAAAAATATTAAACACACATTTAATTACCTAAATGGGTCTAAACTCAAATATCAAATTATTTCCCAAAACATAGCCCTCCAATACTTGAGATGCCCGAAGCAATTCTAATTTATTATAAGTATTTTCTCTTTATTATAAATGATTAGACATAAACACGTGCAATTATGATAACAAAAACCAAAATATTAAAATGCTGCTCTTAAAAAAAAGGTTGTTATATCATCCTTTCATCATAATGCATTCCTCTTTTTTTGGGTGGGGGATATGTAGATTTTAGTTGGAAGGAGAGATGAGAGACCGTCCCTCCATAGGAGGGGTTTCATGGATTGAAATGTATAGATGGTTTATATGTAAATGTGAAAGGATATTGTTAGAGTGTATGCGTAAGGGAAATCAAGAAAGGATTTTCTGTATTTTGTAATGTTTATTCTTAAAGATCAATAAAATGTAAAGGAAAAAAACCGTTTGACTTTTTTTATCACTTTAGCATGATTAATAATCTAAAAAAATTACCAAAATACCTTATGGCTGCATTCATAAACATTAAATACCAAAATGACAATGTATTAACTTTTTGTTGCCTTATTAGGAATATTTTTCTGTTTTATGCCATTTTAGGCTTGCATGAGTCATCCGCAGTATCACAAGATTGAGATATCTGTAGGAAGATTATCTCACCAGAAATAAAACTTTATCTCTGTTACCTTTAGGCCTGGTAAACTTATAATTGTAAATGTTAAATACCACCTGGCAGGCGTAAAATTGTAATTTAGTTTTATTGAGTCCTAAAATGACCTACAATACTTTCGCATGTCCTGGTATGACGTTAGGTGCAGTGGCCTTAAATAAACTACTGCCACCTACTGGTGCAAGAAATGTATTGCAAGTGTCATGTCCCTTTTTTTTTCCCCATGGGGCTACCAATGTTGCTTTCTTACTGTCACTCACGGCTCCCTGCAGGGATTCTCCCCTCCCCACTCCTATCCTCCATCGTTGACTGGAGGAACGGACGGGGGAGGGGGAGGGTACAGCTGGCTCTGCCTCTAGATTAGCAGAGCCTGATGTCACTCATGCAGCTGGGTGGATCTCGACAGTAATGTCGGGATCCGTCCCGGCTGCGGCGGTCTCAGTATACCGCGAGCTGTAGCTCATGATATACTCAGCTTTGGGTAACGGGAGGGCGCTAGTTTATGTCCTCCCATGACCGTCAGGAGAACTATGGGGAAAAACACTTACTCCATAGTTCTCCTTTAACTACCTCCGGCCGGCCGTAGTAAAAAAACGGCCGGCCAGGAGCTCTCTCGATCTGGCGGGCGTCTCTAGACGTCCGCTCAGACACGCACCCTTAAAATGGCCTGGCCTGGAAGGGGGTCTAAACACCTGGTCTTGAAGTGGTTAAAGACATGGTTGCAAACTGATTTAAGCAGCTCATTGCTTTTAAATG